ATCCACAAGATCCTCTATCCTAATTTTATCTTCACCCCGAGGGATGACAACCAACATGATCAAAGGTCTAAACCTTATGAGGAACGGTTGAAGGAGCTGGCTAGGTTTAACCTTGAAAAGAGGAGGCCAAGAAGAGGCAAGATAGCCAATTTCAAATTTTGAAAAATAAATTTCAAAAACCAAGCAGAGGGCCTTCTCGGTAGTGGCGCCCTCCCTGTGGAATGGCCTTCCTTCAGCTGTCAAGGAGATAAAAGAATTACACAACTTTTAGAAGACACCTGAAGGCAGGCCTGTGTAGGGAGGTTTTTAAAGCTTGATGTTTGTTTTGGTTTTGTTTTTTTATTCTATATTTTTAGTTTTTCTGTAAGCATGCCCATAGTGCCGTCATCGTGTATAAGATGGAACAAACTTGTTCTCTCCTGTTTTGGAGGGCAAGACTGGAACCAAGTTTTTTTAGCCCAGAACAACAGGTCTCGGAGGACAGCGGGTGGCGCTGGTGGGTTAACCCAAGAGCCTCAGGACTATGCCGATTCCAGAAGGGTCGGTCGGTTCAAATTCTCCATTATGGGGTGAGCTTCGGCCGTTGCTTCGGGTCGTCCCTGCTCCTGCCACCTAGCGCATCGAAGCACGACAAGTGCAAGTAGATAAAAAGGGTACCGTTCCGGCGGCGAAGGTAACGGCAGTTTCCGTGCGCTGCTCTGGTTTGCCCTAGAGCATCCCATGGGACGATGCCAGGCTTTCTGGCCTTCCTTTGAGCGGCGGTGGCCCCAAGGGGAGAGTGGGCGGCAGGCTGCTGCCAGCACCTCCAAGGAGGGGCCCGAGTGGGCCTTTGGCAGCCTGGAGGCCAGCGACAGAGAGGATTATGGGGAAGTGAAGGCGGCATCTTGCCGCGGGGCACACCACCTGCCCAAGGAGAAGCAGCCGGCAGCAGCACTTCGCCCGCTTCTGCACAGGAGGCGAGGGGCGAGGCCTATGGCCGCCTCCAGGAGCTCTGGCCGTGGGTGGTTAAAAGTGGACCGGCACACCAAGGAGCCAGGTTCTGAGAACTGCTGATCCTGAGCAGTTCCTGGCTATCCTGCCGCCCGAGGTCCAGGGCTGGGTCAGGGAGGCCGGCCTGAGAGCTGGCTCCAGCAGTGGCCCTGGCCGAGGAAGACTCCAGGCGCAACGGGAAGCTGAGGGGCAGGAGCTCACATGCGCCTTGGGGCTGTGTTGCTGGGGGCTCCTGGGGGCTGATCCTGCCTACTCCCTGGGTTGTTAACCAAGAGAGCGAAGCCTGTCCGTTTCATGCTGATTAAGGAGGGGAAGTCCAATTCTATGCCCCTAGCTCACTCAGGGAAACACTTAATCTCAGGGTTGCGGGTTCAAGTCCCGTTTGGGGGCAAAAGATTCCTGCGTTGCAGGGGTTGGACTAGATGACCCTCAGGATCCCTTCCAACTCTATGATTCCTGTGCTCTTCTAGGCATACTCCCCAAGTGTCCCTTGTCTCCAATGACAGTTCTGGAATTATGAAAGCCACCCCAGCTTCTGATTTGATCCTGGACTGTCCCTAATTCCGCTGCCAGTGCCGAGATCGGGGAATAGTATGAGCTGGCCCTTGTCCCAAGCCATGGCGGCTGCGGCGGCTGTGAGAGGGCATCCTGTTGCCTCTCCATGGCCTCTCCACGGCCGCTGCTACCAGCTTCCTCCCTTGGGCAGCTGCTAGTGGCTGCTAGATAGCGGGTGGGGAGGAGAGGCCACCACCATTAAGGCCCTGTTTGACGCGCCAGCTCTGAGGGGGAGGCAGAGGACAAGAAGAAAGAAAGAAAGAAATATTTAGCTGGGAAAGAAGAAAGGGGGAGTGGAGCAGAGCACAAGGAATCTTGATTTTTGGACAGGGAAACCTCAGTTTTCGAGCGTATCGGATGCTGAACGATTCGGAACCCGAACGCCGAAACTCGGAAGCAATTCTTTTCGTTTCAAAGTCAAACGGCTTCCGAGTCACATTTCTCCATTTTTTCAAAGGGATTTCACGCCCATTGCGCCTCGGCTGTCGAACGTTTTGGGAAGTCGAACGGTCTTCAGGAACGGGTTGCGTTTCAAAAACTGCTGTATTTGAAAAAAGTGATTTGTGCGTCTGCATCTAATCTTGCCCCTTTCTAAAATGTATTCATTGGCGTGTGCTTCTCTTTTTGTCAATTGACCAAAAAAGAAAGCCGGGGTGAAGGGTTTTTCTCAGGAGGGCGTTTGTGCTGCATCCCCTTGGTGTGGTCGTGGTGGGAATGCTCTGCTGGGATGGGTTGGGGAACAAAAATGGGGGTTGGGGATGAGGAGGGTCAGTTGAGTGGGGAGTGACAAATGCCCCTCTTTTCATCTAAGGAACGTTGGAGGGTATGGCTGGGTGATGGCTTCAGGGTGGGGTTTGAGGGAGGCTCTGGGTTTTCCGCCCAGGCCTCTCCCTCCTTGCCCTGTTGCTCTGTCCTGACAGGGTTCCTTCCTGATGTTGCAGGTGGGATTTGAGGAGGCCGCCGCAGATGTCTCTGAGGAAGTGCCGTCCGCAGATGTCGAACAGAGGCCCCTATACGTGGAGGCCAAGCAGGAAGATGCAAGCGAGGCCCAACTGGCAGGGAAGTAGGGCCGGATTTAGAGTCGTGCCCCCTGGATCATGCACCTTCATTGTATTGCTCCCATCACAGGCTGAAGACACCACCACTTTGGCTTCGCGTGTGCAGAGGAGGGCAACTAGGATGATCTAGAAGCTAAGCCTTGTGAGGAACGGTTGAAGGAGCTGGGGATGTTTAGCCTGCAAAAGAGGAGACTGAGAGGAGATATGGTAGCCATCTTCAAAGATGGCTGTCACATGGAGGGTGGAGCAAGCTTGTTTCCTCCTGCTCTGGAAGGTAGGATTCAAACCAGTGGCTTCAAGTTGCAGGAAAGGAGTTGGATGGGCATCTGCCATGGATGCTTGAGCTGAGATTCCTGCCTTGCAGGGGGTTGGACTAGATGACCCTCGGGTCCCTTACAACTCTATGATTCTATGATCCAAGAGACACGTTTTTCAGGTCACAGCAGATCGCTGTGACTGTAAATTGTTTTGAACTGCTTTTAGCATTGATTTTTTTTCCTTTATTACGGTCCAGAGACCCAACAAATTGTTACAAAGCAATGCACAATTCAGACAGCCTACCTCCAGGTTAAACAAGCATTTTGTTCAGACTTAAAGACAGGGATCATTGGTTCTTGCAACCACCGATAAAAACTTTGCCACTGCTAATGTTCTAGCGTTTGTCCGGTCTTCCAATAGGAACCTGACATAATGAGCCTCTGATTTTCCCAGGAAAGGTACCGGCAAGGGTAATATCAGTTCAGCCTTGGCTTGCTCATGTTTCGCAGCAAAATATGTTTTATAGAATCGATGTCTTGAGCACATGAGCAAAGTCTGTCCTGGTAGGGAACTCCTCTCAACCTGCCATCCAACACTGCAGAAGGAAAGACGTTTAGTCTGGCTTTGGTGAACAACCTTAGATAATTTGGTACTGAATTTTAAATTTCTGTAGTCCACTGAGGGACGTTAGGGTGAAGAAATCAAATTAAGAGAAGTAAGAGAAATAACCTTCTTTTTCTCATTTATTCAGCAGGTAAAAGGTGGGTGGGCATACCTGAGGGAGAGAGATACACACCTGAAGATGTTGAGGGGTTTTCCGGAGGGAGAGCAGAGGAGGAGAACTTTTCCTCGTCCTCTGTCGTCCCCTTCTCCTTGTGCCCTCATCTTTCCCAACATCAGGGTCTTTTCCAGGGAGTCTTCTCTTCTCACGAGGTGGCCAAAGTATTGGAGCCTCAGCTTCACAATCTGTCCTTCCAGTGAGCACTCAGGGCTGATCTCCTTAAGAATGGATACGTTTGATCTTCTTGCAGTCCAAGGGACTCTCAAGAATCTCCTCCAGCACCATAATTCAAAAGCATCAATTCTTCGGCGATCAGCCTTTTTGATGGTCCAGCTCTCACTTCCATACATCACTACTGGGAAAACCATGGCTTTAACTATACGGACCTTTGTTGGTAAGGTGATGTCTCTGCTTTTTAAGATGCTGTCTAGGTTTGCCATTGCCTTTCTCCCAAGGAGCAGGCGTCTTTTAATAATAATAATAATAATAATAATAATAATAATAATAATAATAATAATAATAATAAATATATTTTGTCCCACCCATCTGGCTGGGTTACCCCAGCCACTCTGAGCGGCTTCCAACCAAATATTAAAAACAATACAGCATCAGACATTAAAAACGTCCCTAAGAAGGGCCGCCTTCAGTTTCCTTCTAAAAGTCAGATAGTTTTTTACTTCCTTGACATCTGATGGAAAGGCGTTCCACAGGGCTGGTGCCACTACCAAGAGGGCCCTCTGCCTGGTTCCCTGGAACCTCACTTCTTGCAAGGAGGGAACCTCAGTGTCCAGGCAGAACGATGGGGGTGGAGACGCTCCTTCAGGTACACTGGGCTGAGGCCATTTAGGGTTTGAAAGGTCAGCACCAACACTTTGAATTGTGCTTGGAAACGTACTGGGAGGTGCTTTATTACCCCTTTGGAGGCATTTTATGCTGCAGGTGCTTTTCTTATTTCCAGTTGGAAAGTAGAATTTGAAATTTGGGGACTTCTATGGAAGACAATTTGGGACAGTTCTCTGGTAGGATTATCCTGTAGGCTTACTTACGTCTGAATTGCACAATGCAAACTGGATTAAAGTTAATAAATTATAATCTAAGACAAGAGATGGGATGGAATCTTCTCCTGAACCCACAAATATTAAATTTCCCAAAAATGCTGGTGGATTTTCATAAGGATTCTTAAAAAATAATTGTAAACAGATGTGGAAATGTGGAGAACTTGATACTGGAAAAATTAATAATTTCAGACTGTGAGAAACCAAAACTGGCTGATTCAGCCATTCCTACCCAAAACCTTGGCATGTGCCAGGCAGACTGACATCCGAGGGCCAGGGTCTGAGGGGGTCTTCCTAGTGTGGCCTGTGGTGTGCAGTGAATTCCCTTCTCTTTCCCCCTCTAGGATGTGAGAAGCACCTTGCAGAGGTAAGTGGATCTGGCTCATTTCCATTAGCTTCACTCTTTGAAGCTGAGATGCAGGAACCTCAGACATGGCCCTGCAGGGGGGAGACTGGAGGACTCACTCCCTGAGGCATCTCACAGGTAAAAGCAGGGGCCCCTCTTTGGAACTTGACAATGGGTAGATCACAGTTGGTCTTTTTATACTGTGAGTAGATCACAGTCTCTTGGGAGTTGGACGTGCCTGCCTTAGCTGTTTCCTTCTAGACTGACCAGTTCAGTCACTCTGCCGGCCACCCCACCCTGTCCCAAGCAAACTCCTGCCCCATAGAGCCCCTTGGGAGGGGGCGATTTCTCACCAAGGAGCAGGAATTGGCTATTTTCTTGACCATATTCCGGCTGCAGTATTTATATTGAAGGAATCACTCAGGTGCAGAGTAGAGGTTTGAAGGAACATTTCTTGTTTCCCAACAAAAGTGCATCTCTTTTTCTTCCTCTCCCCTTCTCTGGGGACATCTAGAGAAAGGACATGTGTGCTGTGCTCTCACCACCCTCAGACAATTCCTGCCCCTTGATACCATAGGATTCTGCTGCTGCTTTGAATAGACATCAGTGGGGAGACTCAGAGGCCTGGGGTTGCTGTTTTGGCCCTTGGGGGTCTGGCTGAGGAGTCCGTAGTGAGGAAGAAACTCCCCACTCAGCGCATGCCTGTCCCTCTAGGCCTCCTCCCAATTCCTTTCTTTTCCTTTAACAGAAATTGCAGATTTGAATGGGCTGACATTGTTCTTCTTTTCACCAGGTATGATGAGAAAAGAGAGAGTCCAGAGAAGCCACTGCCTTTCCCTCCAGAGCTGAGGAACAGGGTCTTGGAATCCTGTGATCTAAATCACCTTGTGGAGGATGCCATGAAACAATGGGAAGGTAATGGAAATTGGCTGCCAGGATTTCACACTGGGATTTCTATTATTTCTTCAGAACTGAACATGCCAGGCTCTTACTGCATGGAATTGCGTAACTCCAGGATACCTTCCTTCTTGGGGCTCCAGCCTTCATTTCCTGTCCCCCCAGAATGGCCCATGTATATTGTGAGGCTGGATCCTGTAAAGGAAGCCTGAACCAGAGGGTATCTCTTTTCAATTCTACGGAACCTCCTTTTCCTTTTGGTTACCAGTCTACATAAATCTGGGGTTGTCCTTTGGGAGGTTCTCCTGCTCTGAATGGAGTCAATTCAAGGATGCTACATTATGAAGTGTTACTTTTGTATGGAGATTTATCTCAGGTGGAAGAGTGTTGCCCTTACACGTTATATCTTTTTGCTTCCTCAGATGCTGTGTTATACAGAAAACAGACTCAGAAAGGTAAATTTCCAGGGGAGGAACAATTTGACAGGAGGGATGGGGACTGATATTTCATGGTGTTAAACCGTCTGTTCTGCAGACTTTGGGACCCCCATCAATGGCGTCACTCTGGGAAACAGTCCTCTAGTGGTGTTTGGGTTCTTGGTCTGTCCCATGAATGAACTGGGAGAGGGTTTGAAGGCTTGGATTGGGGGCAGAGCTTGTCCCTGTGAAGAACCTGCACACCAGTCTGAGTTCCATTCCTGCCTATAGACTAGGATCCTGGTTTCACTCTCGATTTTATAGATTTTGCTTTCTTTCATAAAATCTGTATACTGCTTGTTTGTAGGGAAAACCCTCAGAGTCTTACAATATCTTACAAAACCTTAAGGAGGATCCTGCAGGGTCAGTCCAATGTCCATCTTGTCGCGTTCTCATGTATAAGGAATCTCCCTTGCATTTTGTTTTCCCTCCACACAATCTGCAGAGGTTCTTTGGGGGCTTTTGAGATCAGCCCCATTCCCGGCAGGAGGACTTCCCATTGCATGAGACCTTTGGAATTACAGGGTACAGCTCTGCCGATTCTTCCTCTGGTTTGTCAGCATGCTTGGAAATTCCGGTTTCAACAGCTTTTCCCCACTAGTTCACTTGGCGCAGATAGAATCATAGAATCATAGAGTTGGAAGAGACCACAAGGGCCATCGAGTCCAACCCCCTGCCAAGCAGGAAACACCATCAGAGCACTCCTGACATATGGTTGTCAAGTCTCTGCTTAAAGACCTCCAAAGAAGGAGACTCCACCACACTCCTTGGCAGCAAATTCCACTGTCGAACAGCTCTTACTGTCAGGAAGTTCTTCCTAATGTTGAGGTGGAATCTTCTTTCTTGTAGTTTGGATCCATTGCTCCGTGTCCACTTCCCTGGAGCAGCAGAAAACAACCTTTCTCCCTCCTCTATGTGACATCCTTTTATATATTTGAACATGGCTAGCATATCACCCCTTAACCTCCTCTTCTCCAGGCTAAACATGCCCAGCTCCCTTAGCCGTTCCTCATAAGGCATCGTTTCCAGGCCTTTGACCATTTTGGTTGCCCTCCCTGGACACGTTCCAGTTTGTCAGTGTCCTTCTTGAACTGTGGTGCCCAGAACTGGACACAGTACTCCAGGTGAGGTCTGACCAGAGCAGAATACAGTGGCACTATTACTTCCCTTGATCTAGATGCTATACTCCTATTGATGCAGCCCAGAATTGCATTGGCTTTTTTAGCTGCCGCGACACACTGTTGGCTCATGTCAAGTTTGTGGTCAACCAAGACTCCTAGATCCTTTTCACATGTACTGCTCTCAAGCCAGATGTTAACCTTCCTCCAGCCATTCAGTACAGATTCCCATTTCATTCATGGATTCTGAATGATTGTATTCCACCATTTTCTAGCATGGTTTACCATTTCTGATTTCCTCATGGAATCATGGAATAGTAGAGTTTGAAAGGATCCCAAGGGTCATCTAGTCCATGGGTAGGCAAACTAAGGCCCAGGAGCTGGATCTGGCCCAATCTCCTTCTAAATCTGGCCCGCGGACTGTCTGGGAATCATCGTGTTTTTACATAAGTAGAATGTGTCCTTTTATTTAAAATGCATCTCCGAGTTATTTGTGGGGCATAGGATTTTGTTGTTGTTTTTTTCCAAAATACAGTGGCACCTTGGGTTACAGATGCTTCAGGTTACAGACTCTGCTCACCCATTTCCTTCAGAATGGACCGGTTTGATCCTCTTGCAGTCCATGGGACTCTCAAGAGTCTCCTCCATCACCAGAATTCAAAAGCATCAATTTCCCAACTCCTACTTGCATGCAAGCAGGAGCGGGGCGGGGATCTCTCAGCTGTGAAGGGAGGCTTCACGCTGCCTATCGGAGCTTGCGTGCAAGCAGGAGGGGGCAGGATCTCTCAGTTAGGCAACGGGAAGCCTCCCTTTCCAGCTGAGGGATCCCTGCTCCCTCCTGCTAGCACGCAAGTAGGAATGGGATTGGGGCTGCTCCGATGGGATGGGAGGCATCGTGCTGCCTGAGCCTCGCCGCTGCTGCTGCTCTTGGCCCTCCTCCGCCTTGTATGCCAGACCCACTGCGCACTGCTTCCCCACCACCACCACCGAAGAACGTACAACTTAGGGCCTGCCCAGGCTCATGGAGAAAGGAGAAGGGGAACCATGGCGGTTGAGGTCAAGGCGGTGGACGCCCCTCTGCCAGCCCACCACCATCGCTGCAGTAGCAACATCCCAAACGTGTAGTAAGTATGTATGTATGTATGTATGTATGTATGTATGTATATATGTATAGGGTCCCCAGATTCATTGAAAAAAATCTGAACAACCTTAGATAATTTGGTACTGAATTTTAAATTTCTGTAGTCCAACATTTAAATTGTAGACCGCCTTTTCTGTGATGTAGGTATGATGTATGGACGGGTAGTCTTGAGTGACAGGGCAGGGAATTTAAAATGTCTATATAAGGCCTTGCGCACCATTGTTCTGGGTTCCCTATTAGGGACTTTGTCTTCTTTCCATCTCTGGGCCAGTAACAACCGGGTGGCTGTCGTCGCATACATAAAAAGTATTTTCTGCTCCCTTGGAATATCGGCACCTACAATTCCTAATAGAAAAACCTCTGCTCCCCCCCCCCAAGTTAATTTAAACATTTAAATTGTGCCATTGCTGGGATTCTTTGGTCTCAACATCTCCTCTCTCGACTCCTTCCAGGCTTACCTGGAGTTCTTCACCTCCAGCGAGAACGTCAGAGCCCTCCAAACAGTGTTGAAGAACTACGGCCAGCGAGTGAATTACCACATTGTCAATGTCAAGGTGCGTCCTTCCTCAGTGCCAGATTACCAAACAGACAGACTGGGCACTGGCATACGAGCCTAGGGGCCCCTCAACAACGGATCAAAATAATATTGATTGGCATGGTTGGCCAATTGGTGTCAAGGAAGGACAGGATGTTTTTTATGTATGCTACCACAGCAGCAAGGGTTCTTTTAGCAAAGTATTGGAAGACACAAGAACTACCCACGCTGGAAGAATGGCAGACGAAGGTGATTGATTATATGGGACTGGCGGAGATGACTGGCAGAATCCGTGATCAAGGAAAAGAGACGGCGGAAGAAGATTGGAAGAAATTTAAAGTATATCTTAAGAACTGTTGTAAAATTAATGAGTGCTAAAATGCCATGGGTAAAGAAACAATATAGAAGTACAGCTGTAAATGATTAAGTAAGAGAAGAAGGGGGAAAAAAATAAAGAAAATGAGTAATCAGTTAATTGAAGTGAGGGGTTGCTGAAGAAATTTTAAAATAGGGATGCAGAAAGGGGAGGCATGGGGAAGTCGGGGAAGTAAGATTTATGAAAAAGAGGTTTTGAAATTATACGTGTTTATATGTTTGTTTGTCTATGTATTGTGTTTTGTATTGTTTTTAATTTATGTTGGAAAATTAATAAAAATTTATGGAAAAAACAAAAAAAAACAAAATAATATTGATTTGATCTTGAAAGAAAATTGGGAAATAATTTGTGAGGGGGCCTGCGAGATTCTGACTGCCTAGGAGCCTCCACTGGGTTTAATCCGACCCTGGTCCTTCCTCTGGTAGGCTGGCAGTGAAAACGTTTCCGTGGAAACTTGGGATGCTTGGACTGAGAGCGTATGTGGGGAGCAAACCCTCTGCTTGTGATCTCTGGAGAATATTTTGAGAACTGTTCAGCCTCTGCTAGGACAATTGGCATTGGGTTCATGGCTCCTCCTTGTGGCCCAGTTTCAGTGCCTCCTGTTTAGCCAGAGAATCTGATCAGCTGAGCATATCGTTCCCTGGAGGAGTTTTCTGGATGCAGGGAGGAATAATAATAATAATAATAATAATAATAATAATAATAATAATAATTTATTATTTATACGCCACCCATCTGGCTGAGTTTCCCCAGCCACTCCGGGCGGCTTCCAACAGAACACTAAAATACAATAACCTATTAAACATTAAAAGCTTCCCTAAACAGGGCTGCCTTCAGATGTCTTCTAAAAGTTTGGTAGTTTTTTTCCTCTTTGACATCTGGCGGGAGGGCGTTCCACAGGGCAGGCGCCACTACCGAGAAGGCCCTCTGCCTGGTTCCCTGTAACTTGGCTTCTCATTGCAAGGGAACCGCCAGAAGGCCCTTGGCGCTTGGACCTCAGTGTCCAGGCAGAACAATGGAGGTGGAGATGCTCCTTCAGGTATACTGGACCGAGGCCTGTTCAGTTGGGCCTGAGATCTGTAAAAAAGAAAAAGAAAAAAGGTAAAGGACCTGTGGATGGTTAAGTCCAGTCAAAGGCGACTATGGGGTTGCGGAGCTCATCTCGCTTTCAGGCCGAGGGAGCCGGTATTTGTCCGCAGACAGCTTTCCAGGTCATGTGGCCTGCAGGAATAAACCGCTACTGGCGCAACGGGACACCGTGACGGACACCAGAGCGCACAGAAACGCCGTTTACCTTCCCGCCGCAGCAGTACCTATTTATCTACTTGCACTGGGGTGCTTTCGAACTGCTAGGTTGGCAGGAGCTGGGCCCGAGCAACGGGAGCTCACCCCGTGGCGGGGATTCGAACCGCTGACCTTCTGATCGGCAAGCCCAAGAGGCTCAATGGTTTAGACCACAGCGCCACCCGTGTCTTGAGATCTGTACAGGCCTGGCAGCAAGTTAACAGGTGTATACAAAACCGTGATGCAGCTGTTTCCCTCTCTTCCTTCTAAACAACCTCCTGTTTCCCGTCGGTAGGGTGAGAACATCACCAACGCGCATGAAATGCAACCCAATGCTGTAACGTGGGGCATCTTCCCCGGCAGAGAGATCATTCAGCCGACGGTTGTAGACCCGGTTAGCTTCATGTATTTAAAATCAAAGTGCCTTTCTGCAGGGAAGTTCCATCCCACCGCTGCCACCATGTAGTAAAGGGGCTCCTTTACTACTAATAATAATAAAATTTATTCATACCCCGCCCTCCCCAGCCAAGACTGGGCTCAGGGTGGCTAACAACCAATAATAAAAAATGTTGATTAAAATACAATTTAAAAGATTAAGATACAACATTAAAACATTAGGATGCAGCCTCTTCACGGGAGGGAAAAGGAAATAGAAAGAGGGGGAGGGAATCAAACTGATTCTAAGCCAAAGGTCAGGTGGAACAACTCTGTCTTACAGACCCTGCGGAAAGAAATCAGATCCCGCAGGGCCCTGGTCTCATGAGACAGAGCGTTCCACCAGGCTGTGTTGAAAAGGATAAACTTTCTATGGAAGCATCGTTGCTTCCAGCTGTGCCTCTGCTCTTCTTCCACAGCTGGAAACCGACAGCAGGGAGAGGGCTTTTGTGCTCAGATCCCGCTTGACTACTGCAACACGCTCTACGTGGGGCTACCTTTGAAGGTGACCCGGAAACTACAACTAATCCAGAATGCGGCTGCTAGACTGGTGATTGGGAGCGGCCGCCAAGGCCACATAACACCGGTCCTGAGAGATCTGCATTGGCTCCCAGTACGTTTCCGAGCACAATTCAAAGTGTTGGTGCTGACCTTGAAAGCCCTAAACGGCCTCGGTCCAGTATATCTGAAGGAGCGTCTCCACCCCCATCGCTCAGCCCGGACACTGAGGTCCAGCGCCAAGGGCCTTCTGGCAGTTCCCTTGCTGCGAGAAGTGAGGCTACAGGGAACCAGGCAGAGGGCCTTCTCA